ACTCGACGACCGTCTACATCTAAACAAATTTTTAGAGTTGTTATAGACGCGAGCGATTCTTTACAAAAGAAAGATTTTATACATTATACACACACACACACACACACATACATATGTAGAGTATTTTAAGTGTACTGAAATAGGTTTCTTAATTACAGCCGTAAAATAAAACTTTACAAATGTTGCTCCAATTAAAAAAAATCCTATATTTTGTGACTTCTTTAAAATAATTTAAAAATAATTAATGTAAATAGTGGGGATCAATTAAACATTTATTCTAAGAAGATACCTAATTGAAAACGCAGTTCACGAGAGAACACAGGGGCTTTTATCATGTTATGAGGAGTTTGCCGTGTCAATGATTACTTAGACCTTGATCTATGGACTTGTGCGGTTATTAGATACTTAATGATTACACGAACGCGAAGAAATGTTTGCTGCAGTTGATGCTCAACGGTAAGATGGTCTTACAAATATTTTCCGCTGTTAGTGGGTTGTAGAAAGTAATCTCACAATCTCTACCGGTCCTCGATCAGAAACACAATTTTACGTTCTGAAAATGCGCGTGGGTGTCGATACACGAAATATACATTTGATTTCTATACCGATCGACTCAAACATCAAGTATGACTAGTGTCTACTTTAGGTACGCGTCATCGCAATGATATCATCGAAAGAACGCGTTTGTTCGGTGATCTAGATAAATGACTGAGGACAGAGGAAAAAATAGGTTTATATCTTGCTTACTTTGTTAGACCTAAGATCCTGTGTGATTTTATATGACACTCATATCTCACGTCACTACGGTAAAAATGAAGATCTATGAACTGACAAAAATATGTATATGCAATCATAGTTCAAGAAGTTAATAGGATATGAATAAAAAATGACTGTAATAAATATAAATTAAAATATTCAGCTCTGACCTTATTGCTTTTTGTATAGCTAAAAAAATTTTCCAATTTATAATTTGATAGCACTGTGTGGAAAAAAATACCTGTTTCATTATATGTATAACAAAAATGTAACAAAGATTATTTCTATCAGAACACCATATTTTCAAATATTATTATTTCGATAATTAATTATGAATAGAAGTAATTTTACGGTTTCGGAGATTTCATTCTCCGTACACAAAGGAGGAAGAATTGTATATATATATATATATATATATATAACAAATACATGAAAGATCACGCTGACCCAGGAATTTGCGCTTTCAAATTGCCATAAACGTGGTGACGGCTCGTCCAGACTGCGACTCTAAATTTGGCGAATATTTACGGACTTGAGATGCAAAACAAGTTTCCTCGTTCAGTTGCCGCTGACGTACTCTGATTGGATAAATGGTCCCGATTCTTTTATTAACCGAATAAGTAAGATAGACTGTTTAATTTAAACCTTGAAAAGCTTCAAAATGATTAAGATCCGCTTTAACTAGAAATTCCTTTATTTTTATTGATCTAATGTAGATTAATAATTATTTTAGAGAGTATCGTAATGATATATTATACTATATATTAATAACGATAATTATTATTACTTGTAAAGAATTTACTATTTGGTACAGCAATAGATTGCTAATATTGACTTGACGATTCTCGAAAGATTTGCTATATGAAATTGTACGCGATCCAATTATTACTTAAGTGGTTCTTCTAAATTTAACTTTTAATAGGATCACGATCTATATTCTTTCATTAATATCCGAGAACATTAAGACGATCCAGACTGCTCCGAAAAGCAGACGCACACCCATCAAAGGTCAAGGATCGCAGACGCAATCGGACGATTACAAGTGTGAGACGTGCGGTTTCTTCTATCTGCCTAGTTAATAAACGCCCACCAGTTCACACGGTCCGAGAAAACAACAAAAAAGTATCCGCACAGAAGGGACGTGCAAAAAAACGGATGGAGAATCCGTTTGTGTCATCTGCTTTTCGGCTTGAGAGACTATCAAGCATCGTGCTCCCTCGCTCGACGTTGTGAGAAAAACGTGGACATGCAATACAAAGTGGAAGTATTAATTAAGTGCCATCTACTCTCACACGAGATGATAATTATGAGAGCAAAAGTTCCAGCAATAAATAATTAAAAATATAATATGCAACCATTTTCTACGAGTACTATCAGAATTGTTAGTTACACAAGATACAATCAATATTACGTTCGCGCGCAACCATAAAGCTTGCAATATAATAGAAATTAATCAAAGTTAGGAAATCATACAACATGATCTAATATCAAGCGCAGGTAAATGATCAGTGACATGTTATAGACATTGCTACCATCAATCATTTGTACAGAGAAACGATACGTAAATGGATCTATGAGATCTTTGAAGCTCAGATCACTCATTAGCCGATAAGTGGTCGATCATTCATCTGGAAACGATATTGGGTCCCGATTACATCGCAACGATAAGTTTCTCGTAAAGACTACGTTAAGGTACACCGTGCCGACCAGTAGCAGCACTCGCAGGCATTATCTGAGAAATAGTAGGAGGCTGAGAGACGACGACTTCCGCACCAACTAGTTTTAACGATGAGCCATCGGCCGCCACCTTCCTTATCCCTCTCGCGGTTACGACGGGACTCTTCTTGTTTGTTTGCGCTGCGTCGACATGCACCGATGCACTCACGATGCATTGGTACGTGCCAAAGGACGACACGGAATCGACGCACGCACGCATTCTCGATCGAAATCGCAGTGAACGCGTCGTAACCGAACGACGAAAACGTAATCTATAGCAGCAGCTGATAATAATCAAATTCTCGATATACAAACGGAAATGCAAAAGTATCCACCGCATTTCATAGGTTCTCTAGACCGCGACATTACGCCTTAGATCGCTATAAGATTTAGTCGATCTATTAAATTAATGTATCAATTTGATCTATGAATAATCAGAATTATTTTTAGAACGGTAACACATTGAGAAAAAAAATTATGTTGACTGGAGAAAACTCGCTAACGGTCAATGACTTTTATGATCAATATTATTTACATATTTAATACCAAACATGCGTTGTTATGTAATAAAAACGCTATTAGGTATTATTTATGTAAAGTTAATATATCACATTAGAATGTTGACGATATAAATTCCCCTCTAAGCTCTATGCAGATTTTCCAAGTGTACAGCTAATGAATATTTAAATCAGTCACATGGGAATGTAATGGACACCTGTAACCAAATGCGCCTTACGCGAATTCGCAAACAAGAACCGGTTTACTCTCGGGTGCCATTGGAGTCGTTTAGTTAGATAAAGTTCTCTAAAACAGATGTATAAACATCGGAACAGGAAGGGAATACGGAAAAACAACCACCAAGAACCGACTCAGGACTTGTTTCGGAAATTCGCGATCGTCGACATCGCGGCTAATTTGTCACGACATGCTTCGCCATTGGCGATCAATGAAGCGATCGATAAGGCCGATGATCGATTTTATTGTGCTAAGTGAGCAGTGTTATGGCATGCTAAACGATCCAATCGAGAAGGATGTACCGAACTGCATGACGACCTTCCACGTTGTGTACATTAAACAAGGCACCTGTGATTTAGATCGCATCAAAATAACTTTAATTAAGAAAGACGAGAAATTTATCAGGACGGAATCATCCGCTCGTCGTGCTTGGCCCATCGTGCCGAGAGAAATCATTTGCTCTTACGATGATCCGTTCGATAATGAAAAATATGGGCGAAGCTCACGGCGCCGATTCCTTTCACCGCTCGAATCTTCCGTTTCGGGCCTAAGAAGTCGAGGAATCGAGTCACTTCCACGGAATCAGAATCGATTATCGTAAGAGAAAGTGGGCGTCGATTCACTCGACCTTTTTAAATCAGCGCTGATCTTCATCATTTTCATTCTAATATCCGGTCGTATAAACACGATTACGTGAAACGTTGGAACCTATCACGATTCGTATAAACATGCTTTTAATAGCGAAATTGCAAAACAGCGCGTCTAATCGCACGGGTTAAAGATAGAACGAGTGGGACTTTTGAATGCGAGTGATATGTATACGATGATTAATCACACCCGTAGGCATTGCGAGAGATTTCAAATACGATTAATTTCTTAACGTTTACGTCAGATTTTAGTTACGATGTAATATATCAGAAAATTTAATTATAAAACAAAGGTATCAGACTAGAAGATCTCATAACAAAAAAAAAATTAAAACTCTCTCTCTCTCTTTCTTATACTATAATTATCTATCGAAATGAAATGTGTTCATTCTATAATAGAATAATTTCCAATTAATATCTCTATTAATGTCGTAGATAATTCAATATAATGCTTTAGCAGTAATTTGATTTACTAATTAAAGAATTTAATCCGAGGAGTAAACTACTGAGGAAATTATTTGAAAATCATTAGGAATTATTGAATAATGAATATTACTAGACATTAGTGAGGGTTACTGGGCATTACTAGGTATTATTATGTTTTACTAGGCATTGATTAACATTATTTTTTTAAGTTAAAATTGTTTAATTATTCTATTATAATACTATATATTTATTAGATAGCGTTATTTTCGCATTCATGTCTTTAAGTTAGACAAAATTACAGTTCAACTACCGCAGCTAAAAAATCAATAAAATTAAGATTATTCGACGCATTTTTACATAAAACGAAAATATCTGGCAGAAAAAAGCGTCACTCTGTCTGACTGAGATATTAATTGTTGACGACTATTTAGGTTACGAAATCTGTCACAGTTACGCAACACAGTGCATTACTAGAGCATTACTGTGAGAATTACATAAAAATTCAACAATAATGTTCAGTGATTCCCTTAGCGGTTTGACCCTCGATTTAATCTATAAAAATATTAGACTTTATATGTGGTTTGTTTCTTATAACTTATTATATGATTTTCTTCACAGTTCAATAATTACAAAATTTTTCGATTTCTTAAGATTGGTCTTGCAATATCTCACAATTTAAATATTAAATGCTGTAAAAGTACAAATTCAACGTTGACTTACCTTGACCTTGGCGAGATAGAGCTCCAGTTCCTTGTATGGATCCATCTCCGCTGTCTTTTCACTTGTCACCTTGTCATTTTCGTCACTTAGCACAAGCTTCAACCGATTCGGCATCTTCGCGGACAAACCATTTTGCAGACGACCATCACCTTCCTCCATAGTCTCCATGTGCTCTCACAGTCACCTCGACGATCTTACATGCATTTTTTCGTACATCTGCAACATCAAACAAACAATAACTTAGTAAAAATAAAAAACAAATAAAATTGAAAAAAAAATAGTATAGACATTTTACCAAAGATTGGAGTTCAAGAAAAATTTTTGGATTTCTCTCGAATTTTATTCTAGCAAAAGAAGTCAAAAAGGATAAACGTATTACCTTATTATAAAAATGATGTTAACATTAAAAGAACAATTTAATTTTGTTAAAGTATCTAAAAATTTAGCTAGATACAGATATAAAAAATAATTTTACTGGACCATCAAAATAATTAGGAAGGACGACAAAATTGGTTGCTAGAAGATCAAAACATTTTACAGCAATGCTCATTATGCTCAAGAATCTGCAAAATTATTTTGATGATGCAATACAATTATTTTCAGATCTGTATCTAGAATTTTTATCTCAATCTCAAATTTTTTAGATACTATCCTCAGCAAAATTGCTCTTTCAGTGCACGCATGAATTTATGAACAAACGTTTAAAATTAATAGAGAAATTATAACACATATGGTATTCATAACTGAGAACGAGAAATGAGTTGAAAGACCAAAAATGACCTATAAATATATTCTGGCAAAGGCATTATATATGTATAATTAGCCTCGCTGTGACTCACTGCGGCCGCTGCTTTGCGCGGTCCATATAATCTGGACTTGTCAAATACTTGAAAAGGGTAAAATGACCACCTGCGCTGTTATGATTACATTTGGCTAAATTTAGCGACCTCGCTAGCATTAGTCACTAAGGCTAATTATATTCCGCGCAGATTAGCCGTGCCGTCCGCACGTGTAGCTAATCTGAAATCACTTTGTATCCATTTCCCCACTACTTGAAATTGTGTCGCATTATATCGTTCGCAACAAGTCAACAAATCTACATGCGTTCTCTTCAGAAAATATTTTCTGTCAGACGGGAAATATTGAGAAATCTATTTTATTTTAGTGATTTTTAATCATCGTGTATATATTATTTTTTAATATGCATTACAATTTTTACTATCGACTAGCACATTCCTTGCGCGCGCTACGCGCGCGATGGTCCATTATGCTCTTTTTAAATATTATGAATTATGTTTCTTTGAAACTTGTTTTGAAATCAACAACTCCTCTAATTCCTACTAATACAAAATTTCCCTGAAATTTGAAAACCTTTAGAATTTCATTATTGTTTTCGATCGCTACATTAATTCTACCATTTTGATAAACAATATTTAGCTTATTTTTTTATTCAACATTTATATCGAAAAATTCATTCCACAGTGTGGCTGTGCTGTCGCGTACAAGAGTAAAGTACATTAAAGCAATCAATTGCCGGGATCATTTTGGTCTCAAAATGTTTCTAGAATTATTTGCTCTAAGAATATCCAGAATCCGATATTTTGCTCATCGTTTACGTCGAAAAATTCTACCCACAGTGTGGCCGTGCTGGATTTCTAGAATTTTCGTGCCATTTCTAGAATTTTCGTTAAAAAGTTAGCACCCCATTTTTAAAAAATTATTAAAAAATGATTATTAAGCGCATATGACATTAAAAATCATAGAGAACTCTTCGTATCGTCAAAAAGAAGCAGAAATTATCATCGGAACTATTGTATCTAAAAATTAATTTTTCAAAAATTTTTAATTTTTTTTTTAATATTCAAAAATTTTTTTTACATATCAGGAACTCTAGGCAATCGCAAATTGAAGCTATTAAGTCGCTCAGAACTATTCCACCTCGAAATTCGATAAAAAGTTAGCACCCCATTTTTAAAAAATGTAAAAAAAATGTTTATTGAGCGGAACTCTTGTTATTAACTATAGGGAACTCTTCGTCTCGTCAAAAGGAAGTGGGAACTCTAATCAGAACCTCCTGAGTACTATAGTTGGGGTGCTAACTTAACATACCCCCCTAACACATAAACATTCATGTTACAAACCATAATTCGTACAATAAAAAAATTATATTATATAATATATATACAGAACAAACAAATGAAATACTTTACATGATTTGTCAACTATCTATACCTAAATATTCACGTAGCACTATAAAAAAATTTTGGATTACGAAATAGACTGATTCTTTCGATGTGATATGGAATATATGATGTGCTTACTATAAAATGCAATCTGATAGAATAATTTCTCTCATTTCATTCAACTGTGGCAGAGAGACATGGCGACGATGAATTGATATTTCTGTATATGGAGTTACGTTAATAGCACCAAGACAAGTGCGATAGTGAAACTAAAATATGAGCATGGCTTTACGCTCCGGTGAGCTAGCTAATAATAATTAATATTACATTTTGTACTCGCTTTCGACTACCGTATATAACTTTATCATAACGAGTACTACCACCTGCGAAAAAATATTGAATCATAGGTAGGATAGGATCGCGTAGTGATCGTACCTATTAACTTAATACAACTCTATCAAGTTTTATAATTGTTACAAAATAATTCTCTCTCTCTCATAATCTATTACGTCGAGCTGCCATTATTAAAAAGTTTCTGATAATTCCATTATATTTTGTAATGTAAAGCTAAAGCTCTACAATTTATTAAAATCTCTACTTTACTGATCTAATCTTATCTCGTAAAATTTCTATAAAGTTTCACAATTGCAAAACTAATTTCAATTGTACACGTCTTCGGATGAAATATTTATTATTATGTAGGTATATTTTTTACTATTATCATGTACATGCCGTTATTAACATCGTATGCTAAAAAGGAAGCGTTCGAGAAGTTTCCTGAGCAAACATGTCACGCTGGGAAAGTTCGGCATTAAATGATTCTCCTAGCTGCAGGGATTGAATCGGAAATCGGTAGAAGATCGTGCATGATTGATAAGAGCATTCACCCTGCTACGCTAGCGTAACTGAGGAGCAGGCACTGCGATACCCCGCCACACCAGCAATCCTTAAGGCCACTTCGACCAACTTCGATTAACTTTAATCGATGATTAGTCCATTAGAATTAGCCAATCGCATCTGTCATTGACAAATGCAATTGATCAATTTCAATGGACTAATCATCGATTAAAATTAATCCGAGAATTAATTGGAGTTGGTCGAAGTGGTTCTAAGAGAGTCGTCACAGAGTCGCTATCAGAGTGTCCTGATGCACTCAATTGTATTACGTAAAATAAACTTATTAAACTGTAGATAGAGATATCGCCGCATATATATAATTCTCTTTCGCAATTATAAAAATATTATTCAGGTTTAATTATTTTTATTTTTATGCGTTATGAAATATGTATATGTTAATAGAAAGAAAATAAAAAACTTGGCGCTCTCCTTACATGTTACACAACGTATTAATCCTAGAATCTAGAATGATAAATACAAATGAGTAAGATCAGTTAATGCTAAGATATGCTTTCAGTAGATCATTAGAAGATTCAATCTGAATTTAGAACAAATAGAGAGAGGCAATTAATATAATGTCTCTGTGAAGTTAGCACCTCAACTTTAAAAATCGGAAATTTTAATAACAGTACTGCTTGAACCCGCAATAGTTCTAGAGTCCCTGATAGGTTTCATCAATAGTATTGTTGATTTAGGCCAAAAATTTTAAAAAATAAAAATATGCGGTGCTAACTTCGCGTGGCACCGCAAGATTTGAAAAAGCCGATTTTTATGACGGAATCTCACAGTACTCGAAGAGTACTACAGTTCCTGATCGATTATAACAATAGTACCGGCCATTAAATATTTTTAAATAAATTTTTAAAAAAAGAGCTCGCACCTCAACTTTCAAAAAAATTATTCTTTTTGCGCCATTTTGTAGTACTCGAAGAGTACTACAGTTCCTGATCGGTTTTAGTGACACTACCCACCTTTTTAATATGTTTAAACAATTTTTCGATTCGCGCGCTGGCACCGCACGTCAAGAGTAAAGTACCCCTAAACGGCCAGTACTGGTCGACTTTTTGACTTTTTCCGACAGTACTACAATAGTTCCGAAGAAATATGCAGGTGTCGACCCGAGTACTCCT